CAAGCAAGATAGTTTTTTAGTAGTATTATTTGTAAAAGTTTAGCTTACGATTTTTGTACATTTGGTCAAGGGTCAGGTCACATATATTATTGTATTTCGAATTATATTATAGAAAAATCATATTTGTGTGAAGAAATTCATTTGAATTCTGTGTCACTCACAAAGATATGCGCACCCTTTGTGTAATTTGCATAGATGTCTAGGTTTAGATGCACCAAAAAATAATTTCTAAAATAGACAATTGTTATACTACATTCGATTAGTCAATATTTTATTATAGCTTTACAAAACCTGTGTTTAAAAATTTATGACGACACAAATTTAATTAAACCAATGATTTGTACTTACAATCAGTAAAGAATTCAAAACCCAACTATTGTCTAATAAAGTCCATCCAGATTCAAGAAAGGTCATATAATTAGAACAGTCACCTTCAAAGTATATTAATTTTTGAAACATTAATAAATAAAACACAATCAAAGTAGGATATATGAACAATGTAAAATTCAAGGTACTTCATTTATTTAAGAAGGAAGATAGTGGGGGTGTTTGGTAAACGGCGTTTCAGTCGAAAATGGTGGTTTGACCACTTTTAGCGTTTTCAATAAGTGAAAACGCTGTTTGCTAAATAATTGTTCGGCTCCAGCGTTTTTGGACGAATACGCCACAATGAAAATGCTGCTAATAGGAGAGTTTTGAAAACGCTAGTAGTAGCGTTTTCTACTAATTTTATGGTCAAACAGTTAAATTACCAAACATCTTTTAACAACCCGCCAATTTATTCCGCTAGTCAAACCCGCTGACATAACCCGTTATTGACAACCCGCTAACCACCGAATATCAAATACGCCCAGTATGTTTGTATGTAATTGTGTGATTGTGTTTTTCTTGAAACTTATATTTATTTTAGGAAAAATTGAAAATAATAATCCCAACTATTGCTGGTCCGCTGAAAATAATCCCAACTATTGATTATTTTTGTATAATCCCAACTATATAGACTATCCGCCAATAATGGTCCATGACCATATATTACCTCTATAAAAAGTGAATTTTAAATAGAAATTAAGCGTAAAAATTAAAAGTTGAGATTATTTATAGGGATTACTTGTTATATCTTATCTCATCTACTTTAGAAACTACAAGAATTTATTCATAGGGACCATTATTGGCGGAAGGTCCCTAAAGTTGGGATTATTCTGTAATAATCAATAGTTGGGATTATTATGAACGGACCGCCAATAGTTGGGATTATTACTATCAATTTTTCCTTTATTTTATCTATGGTCTAACTTTTAACGCAAATTTTCTATTTGAAGATGCGTCGTAATCCGCGAACATTTGTGATTAAGCAGGTATTTTGGACCCCGTAAAATCATTGCATATTAATCTGTGATTAATTAATCATGTATCAATTACACTGTATACGTATCTCCAAACGCTCGGTTTTCTGTTTTGTTTTGTTTTTGAAAGGGGAAAGTTCCCGAAATAAAACTAAAACAGTTTGATAATTCCAAAATAGGACTGACATGTTTTTTATTCCCAAAATAGGAGTAATTACTGTCAAGTTTGGAAAATACTGTCATGTTTGAAGTCTGGTACTGCCAAAACATGACAATAATTAGTCCTGTTTTGGAAATAAAAACATGACAGTCCTATTTTGGAATTTTCAAACCTTTTAGTCCTATTTCGGGTAATATCTCAAGATTTTTCTGTTTTGTTATTCAGCGGAAAATAATACGGACTACTTACTTTCTCTTAAAATTTTGTTATTTTTAACTCTCTTTTTTCAATGAAGTTAAATTGTGATCAATGATATAATTTTATAGAGAATGATTTATAATACAAAAAAAAGATATGAAAATGTTCTTAGTTGAAACTATTATCATAAAATTATAAAATTTACAACTTTTATAAAATCATGAAAATGTTCTTAGTTGAAAATGATTATACTCTCATTTTGTAAGATACATTTTTTTTGAGTTGTCCAAAAAATATGATCCCTTTTAAAAATTGAACTCCCCTAACTTATTATTTTCTCACCTTATCTCTTTACACGGAGTATATCATTTCACCATTTATTTTTTGTGGATTCATTTTTCCTTTCTTTTTTTGTACTTTGTGAAGGTTAGAATTATCAAACAACCATTTTATCCTTTATTTTTTCTAAAACCCACACCAAACACGCATGTATCTACTTCACAACCGTAGATTTGAGAAGTGAAAAATGGGGAAAAGGTCAATTAGAGTTTAGATGTAATTGAAGTGGGGTCCTATAAATCCAGAGTAAGATTCTTAGGCCCAAGAACTACAACATGTGTTGTCAGGTTCTGCTTTGGATTCAAACCTTAAACGAAACCGGTTAAAAGTGGTAGACTTCTAGTCTGGTCTTACTTCAGCCGAATTTCTAAGGTTTTTTAAGTAGTAAAACCATGATCAGAACCGAAGAGACTCAAGTAGATTTGCCGTTGGCGCCTGTAGTTTTAATCGTCTTACTGTGCAATATTCCATTAATCACTCTCCAGGGTGAACTTTAAATAAATCACAATTCATTGAACCTTCAATAGAAATTCAGTGAACCAAGAAATGAAATATTCATTTAGATAATTACTAGGTTAAATTTTCATTTATATGTGCTATGGTAGAGTGACGCCAAGGGTAATTAATTTTTTTCAACTTTTGTGAGTGTAAAATTTTCATTTTTCATACTAAGCTCACCTCAATAATATTTAAGTCTATAATTACTTCTCAGCTCAGTCCAATCCAGAATCCTAAATCTACCCTATCTTGAGTGAATATATCAAACTCATAAAATAACTACTCCGAAGAGCCCCGATTCGGAAGTTCTCAAAAAATAGGATACTAGAGATGTGTTCAAAAAATAGGATACTAGAGTGATAGAGTATATAGATTCGGACCCCCGGGTATCACGACTATTGGGTCCGGACAGTGGCCCACACACGCTTCACCGATATCATTTATATTATTATACTGTCCGATTTGTATTTGTATCCACTAGATTAGCCTTTTTTATATCAGTCCATTTATGTAACCGGGTCTGTCGGGCCCATATTAGAGGTCCAGACCCGGATTTCCCTATTTATACTCCTCTTGGAGCTTCTTGTAACCCTAAGTCATAATTCCATAATTCAATACTATTCATCTTCTTCCTCACCTCTCTTGCTCAAATCTCTCCTAATTATGTATGTTTGGATCCCTATAATCCACCATAGAGATGTGCTCAAAAAATAGGATACTAGGCTGCTAAAAACACAAGTAGATTAGTAAGACAGGTCAAGTACACACACAGGCTGCTTAAAAATGCTTGTTGACCCAAACATGTGTTTAAAGTGCCGCTTACTAAGCATATCCCTATGTATTAATTAAGCGGTGGTAAATCCTAGGAAGTAAACATAGTTTACAACACTGCTTATTTTATGCCTCACTTATTAACGCATGTTTTAATAAGCACCGTGATGGGGTATCCAATCTATATAATTTAGAGAGATTGAGAACAATTGAAGAAGATGATGAATAGTAGAAAAATGTATGAGTGAATTAGGAATTAGGGTTACAAGATGCTCCAAGGAAAGCTAATATTGACAAGATTGACCAAACTACATAAAAAGGCTAGTCTAGTGGATGCAATAATACAAATGATGTTTGCTCAGTGTATGTGGACCGCGGTTCAAGCTCAATACTCTTGAGACCGGGAATCCAAGTGTATATACTCTATATCCCACTGCTTAGCAATATGTGGGGTAAACACGTCCGAAAGGTTTTGAGTAGTTTTCTGAGGAAAACCAAAAGTCTGTTTAAAATTGGATTATTGCACAAAATGTAAAAACCTAAGTTTCACTTGAAACAATAAAATAAATGAGTGGTCCCGGTCTGGTTTGGAATTGCATCCAATTGTCCAGTTTCCACCCCTCCCAAGAAACATATGAATAAAGAAAGATCATTATTAATCGCTAAGAAGGCACTAAAAGACAGGAGAAATCACGGATTTTATGTGAAAACACGTTTACAGTGAAAAGAAGGCAAAACTTTTAGAATGGCAGAGAGAGCAACTGGGGATCTGGGGCTTGACAACGTTTTGGGCCAAGTCTAATATAATTGGGCTTGTACCATTTTTCTAACAATCTTCACATGAAAACTTGTTTCTTCCTCTTCTTTTTCAATCAACCCAAACCAGTGAAGGGCCAAACCAGTGAAGGGTATGTTTGAGAGTTTGGAGAAGAAGGAAAGGAAGGACCTCGAAGGTTAGTCATGAGAGGGGAAGGAAATGGAAAGTGAAAGAAAAACGTGTTTCTGTTTAAGATATGTAAATCTGGAAGGAGAGAAATTACAGAAAATTATACGGAGTGATTAAAATTACTTAAGAAATATTGAATTCAAATTGTTGAACTTGGATTCATTTTAGATTGAGTTAAATTATCATTTATTTTGCTATGTCATTCAAAAATCTCCAAATTGGAGGAACTTAAAAAATGAGCACTTGAAGGATTTTGTAGGATTACAAAAGCCCTTTAAAATCACTCCCTCTAATTTCTCAAAACTCTCAAACAAGAAAGGGAAGGTCATAAACCCTCATCAAACTTTCCCTTCCCTACAAAACCTAACTCCCAAACATGCCTAAGAAAACTAATTTTCTTTAATATTGCTAGGAAATTCTTAAATAGGAAGAAATCATAACTCGGTAGTTCAAAGAGAACCACAATTTTTTTCATTCATTTGCTCCTAAATGATTTGCAGCCTTTGCGAGAGCTTTGCGGCACTGGGGTAAGGATGATTTGTTCCTAAAAATAGTTAATGATTTATTCCTTACTGGGACTACATAAATTCTATTTTGAGAAAAAACATAACTACAATTTCTTTTCTATCTATTCATTTTGTATCCATTCTCTCTTCTATCGAACTCCTCTTCTGTTCCACGTTTTTTCCCTCACTTACCTCTTTACCCAAAAGCAAAAGTTAAGCAAGAAGATGAAACAGAGAACTAGAGAAGAATGAAAAATATATGGAGATCTGCAAAAGTTGTTGCCATAATTGCTTCGAATGTAAATTCTTCTTTAATTAGATAACATAACACATAAATTTCATAATACAGTCCATGAAGACAAAAGAGCAAAGAGGAAGCGCGATTATGTAGTACTTTTATACTATAAACTCAAACCTGCCAAACGGTCCTCATTTTGAGGGTGACTTAATTGGGCTGGGAAAGTTGTTTTGCGCCAATTCCAATAATTTGTACGAATTGGATCTATTGTTTCCAAGATTGAAATGATCATTTCCCCCAGTTTTAAATCTGATGAGTTGGATGAAGAGAGATCATGAACTGCACTGATCAGTTCCGGGCTCGGTTCAAACCCATGACACCAAAGATCCAACAGCATGCTCAAGGCGTGCACACGGTTGTTGGCTTTGGAAGTCAAAACCTCCAAAACAGCCGATGACACCTGAGGGTCCCTCATCAGTGATTGTACATCGCCTTTGTAAAGACCCCGAAGATATCTCCATGGGCTTTCATTGTCAGAGTTAGCTTTGATGGCTTCAACTGCATATCTCACTTCTGACTCCCTCATTGCTACCAGGCCTCCAACTAGAAGAGGTGATCTTGTAACCACAAAGTATCTCTGTCAAAATCAAAATTACTATATTAAAACTGTTCTACAAAAAAGAAAAAAAATCTACTTAGATCTCTGCCCAACCAAAATGTCCATCAACATTGAGCTTGATTTGAATTTCATTTGGAATATGCAAACACCCCAAAGTAAGGACTCTTTCTATCTAGAACCATTTTAGCCAGAAGTAATATTCCAAACCCCAAACAAGTCTCAGAATTTCAATTAACTTAGCCACCCCATCCATCAACCTTTTAGTCATATTGGCTACTCATTTCCTATTCCAACCAACCAGATATTGTAAGGAGAATGACAATATGACATTGATTATATCCTCATTTTATTCTGAAACAACGCACTCTCAAAGTCATCATGTCCTTTTTGTCACATTTTCCTGTTAAAATCATAAAGTCCAGTCATCTGCACACCCGACAGATTTAAACAATGAAATAAAGTGCTGTTTGGGAAGATGTAATAAAACGAAATGCAACATATGTGCTGGTGCAATCTTTTTTACTCCAAATATGATTGATTACAATTGCGTTACAGCATACTAATAATGCCTAAGAGCAAAAAAACTTTGTCTGATGAAATGTGTAACCATAATCGAGCAGTTACTGTTAACTCCTAACAGAATTTAATATATAAATCATGATAAAGGAAAAAAAAAAAAAAATAAGTTTCTCAAATTGTGGCATCACAACTCCAACTTACAAAAGCAACATAAAGAATTCGAGATCTATCAATACCTGATTCCAGGCTGAGTTGTTGTAAATATCATCATCAAGTAGTTCATCACAATAAGAAAGTTCATCTTCCCACCCACCAAGTGTCTGAAGAACCCACTGCATTTTGAAACTTCTTTTCATTATTGTAGTTGCATAAATAAATTCAAGATACATTCCATATGACTTGTCCTGTGTAAAAGACCCACAACCCTTGGAAAGCCAACATAAATACACGACAGGTACAAGGTTCACCATTGACCACTGAAACTAGGTGAATCATATTACCTGCCTGTGCGACCATGCATGATAATTTTTTGCATCCTGATGGAATACTTTCTTCGTGAACTCAAGCTCCTTATGCACCACATCAGTTCCTAGCTTCTCAGCAACCCACCTTCTGTGGTGCCTACATGACAAATGTAAAATATCAAACACCACTCACCATTACTTTTCCTTTAAACTTTTTCAATTGGATCAGATACAAAGATACATGCAACTGAAGATACAAGAGAAATATCATTTAGAAGAATGAAGAACAAATGGAGTTTGCTTCACAAAGCACATCACAAGGTGGGAACACAAACTAAGAACATTTAACTGCATTCAAATTTCCAAGTAACTAAAAGTATGATCTTAATGACACATGAACTAAATTAGGAGGGTAGTCAATAAAGTAACATGAGGAAATAAAAAGGTGTGACTTTCCTTGACAAAGTCAGCATCTGTTTCACTGTTTGCAAATACCAACACTATCAGTCACTAATATATTTAGTACTCCAGATAAACTGAAAAATCAGTTCGCGGAGAATAGATTTTAAACTAGATGCGCTGAAAACATTCCCATCTTTTCCAAGAAGAACGTGTAATACCAACATATTTTAAAAAAATCAGAGCGCAGTTCTGCAACTCCTAGAAGAAAGGCAGTATATCAAACACAAAAGCTCAAATTTGAAAATAATGACGAACGGATTTAAAAAGTAGGGGCAAGATTTTATAAATAATAAGACTTTTAAGATAAAAGCTAGACATTACAAAGAGTGACAGATAATGAAAGGGAGGTGTTGTGTCATTTTACTTGGGGTGATATTTAGTTTTATTTTTTCACAGGAACAGACTTAAACTCTGGCAGTGATTCAGTAGGGTAAGAATTTTTTGTTTCCAGTTCCGAACTTTCTCTATGTAACCAATAGAAACTCTAATAGAAACAATGAAATGGATCTAAAAGGGGAAGTCAACAAGAAACTTCACAGAAATACAGATATAGTTTCCTCATTTCTACGTTTCATCTTTATAAAAGGGGCTGCATTGGAGGTGGGACCATGGGATTTGAACTATCAAGTGTGTGCATAGTTAGATTGAAACATAAAAGACAGTTGAAGGTAAAAAAAAAAGATAGTTCACTTATGATATACAAAATGCAATACAATTTTAGAGAGTGCTTGATAATTTCGGACAGGGGATGGTTACTAAAATACTCCGTAATACTTTAGACCACTAAACTTCACTTAAAGGCATACACAAAAATATCACTCAAAGGCATTGAAATAGGCAAAGAGCAAAGCAGATTTGATACCATATTTGATAGTTTTTTGGGTTGCCTCCCGCGATACGATCAACAAACTCTAATTCTTCGTGCAAATCAGACCCCAATGCCTCAAGCACCACACGCCTAAATTGCCAAATCTATAAATTAAAAATTAAGGTAAAAAGCAAGAAGCCAACCAAACAGAAGTTATAAACAGCTCACTTCTAAACATACAAATTATACATAAGAAAACAAAATATCTTCATGTTAAAGAACATCAAATGTAGCTCAATAATACGGTGTACACCGTACTTCAGGAGTTGCACTCACAGTATAGTTGCCGGGATTAAGTCCGACGGCTTCTGTAGTGAGGTGAAGAGCTCGGGTAGATCGCTCGTCGGCGAGGTAAACTGCCCGAAAATATCCCATTGCATCGGAGAACTCCTCATTGTAGGCTATGGAGACAACAGGGTTAGGCCCCTCGTCTTGTGGCACAGGCCTGACGTCTGCCCATTCAGGTCGATCTTTGAAGAGGGTTCTCCTTCTCCTGTCTTCCTCTGGACCCATCAATCAACCTGAGAGAGTTCAACCGGGATCCGGTCCGATCACAGTGCCGTCGTTAAGCCTAAGACGGAGTTCAGCAAAGAGAAGAAAGGTCGTGCGAAGATCCCGTGACCACAAGGGATCTTTTTTGAAAAAAAATAAGGAGGGTGACCTTTGGGAAAATGAAAATGATAAAGTTAATAGTCTAGCAAAAATGCAAAACTCTCCATTTCACCATTCAACTTGACTTCTTGGTCACCAAGAAATGGTCTTCCACCATTCAGTTAATGCCCAACTCAGGGCTAGCCTTTTAATTTGATTAATTTTAATCCTCAACCCTAACTTATTTTTTTAGTAACTAGTATGTGTATCCGTGCACCACACGACAAAATATGCACTTAAAGTTTTTATTTATTAAAATTGTAAGAGAAATGAATTGTATGTGAATTCGTCAATCAGGGTTTAAAAGAAAATTCACTTGATTGTGAAAAGAGCTGCCAAAATGAGTCAAAGTCCCTAGGGCTAGCCCATTTCATCACATTTCACGATGGGTAAGAGTTGTCATCTTTTACCTAATGAACTCACTGGTTTCATGGGTCAACTTGCACGGGTTGCATGATAAGTGAGTTGACACATGCAGATTGTGAATAACCCAAAATATAAACATATGTTTTTTAATTTTTTGTCTTCAATATTGATGGTTTACTACCAAAATTATTTTCAAATATACTTATTATTTTATAACCCTTGTTGAACTATTATTTCTATATATAATAATTATTCAAATAAATTACTATTAAAAAATTACTCTAGCATACTCCGTATTTTTTATGTTATTGTTGAAAGTAATTTCTTAACAATTAATAGTCATTTTTTACAAATGTTTACTCAAAAGATGTAAATTGCGTCTTTATTTTTGTACAATGAGTGCTTTTGATAGATACTCCATGTCTCCCTCCGTCCCGCTAGGATTTTCTTATCTTTCTCTTTTGATCCGTCTCTATAACATTGTCTCATACAAAATTAGGTAACGTTTGTGTGACTTTAAATCATTCTTACTTTATTCTTACTTTATCAATTCAATGTCAACTACATAAACTCGTTATTGTTAAGAGATATTACCCAAAATGGGACTAAAAAAGTTTGAAAATTCAAAAATAGGACTTCCATGTTTTTATTCCCAAAATAGGACTAATTACTGTCATGTTTTGGCAGTACCGGACTTCAAACATGGCAGTATTTTCCAAATTTGGCAGTAATTAATCCTATTTTGGGAATAAAAACATGACAGTCCTATTTTTGAATTTTCAAACTTTTTTAGTCCCATTTCGGGAACTTTCCCTATTGTTAATAATCGTGACACCACCTCATGTTCCAATGTTAGTGGGACAGAGGTAGTACAATGTAACAGTGATCAAATTTTAGTTTCTTATATACTCCATCCGTCCCTAAATGTTAGTCCTACTTTACCAAAATGGATGTCCCAAAATGTTTGTCCTACCTTTTTAACTTCCTTATTTGACAAACAAAACTATATCAAACAGTGTCGCTACAATGGAAGTTAAATTCATTTCCTTAATATGTGTGAAGTCAAAGTAGGACAATCTTTGTTAGGGGATTTTGGAGGGGAGGGGAGGATTAATTTTTTACTTTATTAATATATCTTGATTTGTTTTTTTACTACAAATAAATATATAATTAGTTAAATCATGTATTTTTATATACTATTGTGTCCTCATTTTATTTCAATTTGTCTAAATGTAAAAATAATTTTAAATTTAAATAAGACCCCTCCCCTTCCCCCCCCCCCCCCCCTCCAAAATCCTCCAACCATACTGACCCTTAGTGACGGAGGAAGTATAAAATTTGGGCGATCAAATGAGAATGCAATCTATGAAGAGAATTAGAATGAACCGGAACGTTAGATTTGAAAATTGTGCATTATGTGAAGTATAAGTATGTGTTACCATAAATAAACAAAATGCAGTGACATTTTAAAAAAAAAAAAATTAAACCTGCCATGTCCATTTAAATATAAATATTATTTATTTATATTTGACTACCAAAATTATTTGCAAGTATACTTATTATTTATATTTATATAGAGAAATCATCATGTCAGGCCGGCCTGACCAGGAGAGCCGTCCGGCCGAGCCCTTTTGGCGACCTTTCCGATGAAATTTTTTGATGAAAGTTTTTTAGCATGTTCCTCATCAAGTCTAGTTTGTCCATACCAAATTTCAGCTCAAAATTCGATCGGGAAGGCATTCAAATATTTTTTTGACGTTGACTGTGTTTTTTTTTTATTTGAATGCCTTCCCGATCGAATTTTGAGCTGAAATTTGGTATGGACAAACTAGACTTGATGAGGAACATGCTCAAAAAATTTCATCAAAAAATTTCACCGGGAAGGTGCCCAAACGGGCTCGGCCGGACGAAGGTTCCCGTCAGGCCGGCCTGATGAGAAGACTACTCATTATATACATATGTATATTCTAGACATATATACATATGTATAAGGGATAATAATAGAATATACATATTATATACATATATATACACATCTATATACATATATTATATGATATAGATATAGATATAGAGATTTTGGTTCAAATGAGAACAACTCTTAACGTGAGAACGTGAGAACAGATCTCAGCCATCCAAAATCAATAATCATCTACGAACAAATAAATGGTAGTGGGGGATATTTTGGTCTTCTTCTATTGTGGCAATTCCATTGACCGATATGATATTTCAGTTTTTGGATTTGGATGTACCGGTCTTTGAGGTAATGGTGCGCACTTTTAGGAAGTAGATAATAAACATTATCACATTAATTAATTGTTCATATTAATTCTTACGTAAGTTTACTTTTCTGTTTACTCAAACACAATACGTAGTATTTTATTTCTTTTTATAAAATTTTACCTTTTGAACGTCTTTACTTTAATGGCCGGTTCTTTGGCTTGTGCATCTTCTTTTCATTTTTCTAACCACTAAAACTAAATTGTTCACACGGTGCACATCAGCACATGCATCTCCATCAACTGCACCTCCACAATTCAAAGAAATTATTATATTTAAACTTATAATTTGCGTCCAACAAAATGCATGACAATTTGTTAAGACACGGGGTTCCATCCTAAAAGGTCAACCTGATAGGAGGAGTAGCCCATGTGTTAATATAGCACTTTGTTCATCCAAATCTTTCCGGTGTGGGATATTTAACACCCCTCCTCACGACCAGACACTTCGTCTGGATCGTGCCATCATTAATTTTTTTTTCATCGGTCCGGTTTTTTTCATCCGGCCGTAATTATCAATTTTTTTATAATCGTGTCATCACGATTCATAAGGGGCCCACATCATGGATCGATTTGGCTCTGATACCATGTTAAGACACGGGGTTCCATCCTAAAAGGTCAACCTGATAGGAGGAGTAGCCCATGTGTTAATATAGCACTTTGTTCATCCAAATCTTTCCGGTGTGGGATATTTAACACAATTGTATATGGACTACATGCATTTTTCATAAGTTAGTGTGCATCTAACCACGTTAAACTCATTTTTATTTTACAGTTTTTTAATATCTCAAACCATTCCATTCGTTCCATGCACTTGAACATCATAGTAATGCACCCAAATTTAAATTACCACAAATGAGTAACGATAACAGAGTGTTTAGTAACATCACAAAAATACACTTCTGATACACTTTAATATGAATTGTATGCACCTTGAAATTAGTAATGGAAAACGAGTGTTTAGTATAATCACAAAAACACCTTCCTGATGCACTTTAACATGAACTGTACGGCACCATGAAAACAGAGTGGTAGTATTATCACAAATATATATTTTTGATGCACTTTACCATGAATTACGATACCTTAAAATCAATTTATCTTCCATCTGCGAAAGTCAATTGCTTCTTTCCATATTGGAGTGCGGTTATACGATAGTATTTGTTAGGCTAATACCTTCTCCAAATCTTTGGTTATTATGGCTACTTTTTCGGGAGTGCAAGCCGGAATCCGCCACCCAATAAAAGATGTGTGCTGGTTTGAATTACAATTTCACCCTTTATAACTTGCACCCCCACCTCTCCCTATGTATGAGACAGGTTAGTGTGTGTGAAAGTCCATCTATGTACTGTGAACCCATTGATTAAAAGCCGCCCATTTAATTAGATGAAGAGTTGTGATGTGTTCTCACTTCTCACAATAAGGGGTGTTCTCATTAGAACCTAGATATAGATATAGATATAGATATAGATATAGATATAGATATAGATATAGATATAGATATAGATATAGATATAGATATAGATATAGATATAGATATAGATATAGATATAGATATAGATATAGATATAGATATAGATATAGATATAGATATAGATATAGATATAGATATAGATATAGATATAGATATAGATATAGATGTTTACAGTTTGAATTAATTAGATGAGAGCAAGTAAATTTCTTCAAGAGAAACACATATTGACGCAAATTATATCGTGGGATCGGTCCACCTTGTACATGATGCTCCCGATCCCAAAAGACATAGTTTTATCAACTAAAAAAAGATCATTTCTTAATCCCTGCAGTTCACGAGAATGCCGTCGGGAAGATGGAAGACTGATTGGAGAAAGATAGTTCAATTCGTTCACCGACGCTCTTGGTCTCTTGGTCTGTCGTATTCTAGAGGCTGGAGTAAACTTTGCTCCTCATGACCTCATCCTGGAGCTAAGCAACGACGATCATTGGTTGTTGGCCAAGCATGAGGAACGTTGGAGACTTGAATTGATTAGAAATATTCATTTATATATGTGTGTGCGTGCGTGTGTGTGCGCGTGTGTGTGCGTGTGTGTGCGTGCGTGCGTGTGTGTGTGAGAGAGAGATAGTAGTAGACAATTTACATTTTGATTTGACTCAAATTACATTTGAATATACATGAAGTTACATAAGAATTTGTCTAAAGTTACATATCTATTAACGTGAGTTACATGTCAACTTTGCAAGTTACATCTTGCTTACACGTAATTTACATTTTGCATAATACGAGTTACACCTCAATATAATGCGAGTTACACAACACAATAAACCCATGTTATTCAAAGAAAAATCATTTTCATAAAAAAATCATTTTTATAGCACTGATATTAAAAAACAAGACATATACACTATTTATTTTAAATAGTTTGGCAATTAGACTCCTCTTTTCATTTAAATCAATATTTTATTTCTTATGTTATGTATTGAACTAGTTACATTTCAACTAGACTTGAGTTACATTCATCAATAACTTGAGTTACATTTTTTTACACATGAGTTACACCATTCTGCTACTGGAACAAAAAAAAAGTACTGTACACGCGTGTACTGTTCACGCGATAATTTTTTAGTTAAAAATCGCTGCAAAACTGCGTCGTTTTGGATCAGGAGCACGGTGCTCACAGTGGGATCATCAGTATATGAACTCCATATTGATGGCAATGACATACGGGATGCTGATGTGGTTACAAGTTGTTACATAGTAAGAAATCTACTACCTCCGCGTAAATATATTTTCATTTCAAAAGTAAGTAGGTAGATTAAGAATGGTGAAAGGAGAGATGAATTATTGAGGATATGATGAGAAAATAATGAAATAATGTGATAAAATGAAGGATAAATCCAAAAAAAATAGTTGTAAAATGGTGTATTATTTTTAAAATTATTGATAGTATGATGAGAAGATTTAGAAATGGGAAGATATGAATGTTACGGCCAAAAAATGGAAGTGAGAACATATGATTGTTATGGAGATCAGATGTATCAGTCGCTCTTCTTAATATTAAAAATATAGTCGTACTTTTGTACATGAATTTTACTTTACTAATTGATAGAACTTATGTGACCCACGCCTACCATGCATAACATGTGCCGCAATACTCTCTCGGCAGGCTCAATTCTTATCAAGTTAATATATTTGACATTATCTCATTGTACAGCTGTATAGTTTAATAATTACTCCTTAACTTTCTCTTGTATTTAACTGATTAGTTTGATAGAATAGTCCCATGCGGATGAAACATGTATCGGATAACTACTGTACAAACACTATATATATACCATGAATGCCAGAGGCATATTCACGGGGGAAAGCATTTGTTTCTAACTTGGTATCAGACTTACGATCCTATTCCTTTCTCCATGGCTTCACCACAGAAAACCTCTTTCCACCCGGCTCTTGCCGTCACCTCCATTAAAAATCTCATCCCTCTCACACTTGAAACCGAAAACGTCCAATATTCCTCATGGGCGGAACTCTTTAAGCTCACCGCCCGAGCTTATGACGTCCTGGATCATATTCTCCAGGCTGATTCTCCCTCTGGCAGCACCACCTCGATGACATCTTCCTCCCTCTCCGACGACGACCGCCTACGTCTGGCTGTTGAAGAAAAAGCTCTTTGGAATCGTATCGATGCACTTGTTCTCCAGTGGATCTACGGTACCATATCACACGAGTTGCTGCACACCATTCTCGAACCCAACTCTACCGCCATGGCTGCCTGGAACCGCTTGGCAGATATCTTTCAAGACAACAAAAATGCTCGGGCTCTACATCTCGAGGATCAATTCTCCAGCACTCGTTTGGAGAATTTTCCTTCCATCTCTGCTTACTGCCAGGCCCTCCGTACAATTGCCACTCAACTCGCCAACGTTGATTCCCCAGTCAATGATAACTGTCTTGTGTTGCGTTTGGTGCACGGGCTCCCTGCCTCTTATGAGACTGTTGCCTCCTTCATACAACAAACTAATCCCCTCCCTTCTTTTGAAAAGGCACGGTCCATGCTTCTTTTGGATGAATCTCGCCGGCAGCACCAACTGAGCACCTCCTCTTCTCCTGCTTCCGCACTTGTCTCAACGGCTCACAACCCGCCACCCCCTCGTCCGGATGTTCATGCACCCGCTGCCCCCTCTTATGGCTCCGGCCCCCGTGGACGTGGCGGAGCACGTCACCCTTCTAGTCGTGGAAAAGGGCGTGGTAGATCCTCTGGTGGGCGTCACTCTGACCCATCTTCCTGGTCACATACTCCAGCACCATCCCCATGGTCATTTCCTCCGTGGGCTCCATGGATGCCTCAATATTGGAATATGCCACCCTGCCCTTACCCTACGGTTCCTGGAAACTCTACCACACCACGCTCGCCCACCGCCGGCATACTGGGCCCACGCCCCCAAGCTTTAACCATTGGACCCATGACCTCTCAAATGCCGGCTCCTCATACTGCCACTTATGTACCAACGGCTCTTCCCACTGCCATGCATGCCATGACCCTTAATCCTCCTGATGATGCTTGGTATATGGATACGGGAGCAACCTCCCACATGACATCAGATACAGGTATTCTCTCGTCTTTTGTTAATACGGGTTCTAAAAACAGTATCATGGTCGGTAATGGCTCGTCCATTCCAGTCACAGGTCACGGTCACACACATTTACCTCCCCCACACCCTCCCCTCCAACTTAGCCATGTACTACACACGCCACATATCATTAAAAATTTAATTTCTGTACGAAAATTCACTACTGATAACCATGTGTCTGTTGAATTTGACCCCCTTGGTTTTTCTGTGAAGGATCTTCGTACCAGAACCCCAATCCTGCGATGTAACAGTCAAGGTGATTTGTATCCGGTGTGTCGCCCATTTCCGTCAGTTCGTTCGTCTTTCCCAGGGTTTGCTGGCATCTCCGCCTCCATATGGCATGATCGTCTTGGTCACCCCGGCACTTCCATTTTTCGTAGTCTTAATAGTAATCATCTCATTGATTGTAATAAGACATTCACTAGTGTTTGTGAATCTTGTCAATTAGGAAAACATATTAAATTGCCATTTTCTCCGTCTTTATCTTATACTCACGCTCCCTTTGATATTATACATAGTGATTTGTGGACTTCCCCTGTTTTAAGTTCTACGGGTCATCGGTACTATATTATCTTTCTTGATGATTTTACCAATTTCCTTTGGATTTATCCACTTCATCACAAATCTGATGCTTTCCCTACGTTTGTGCAGTTTCATAAATTTGTACAAACACAATTCGGTACATCTATTAAAACACTCCAATGTGATAATGGACGTGAATATAATAATTCTTTGTTTCATAATTATTGTTCTACACATGGTCTAATTTTTCGTTTTTCCTGTCCCTACACTTCCCCCCAAAATGGGAAGGCTGAACGAAAAATTCGCTCTATTAATAATATTACCCGTACTCTTCTCCTTCACGCATCCGTACCCGCTCCCTACTGGCAACATGCCGTACTTATGGCTACATACCTTCATAATATCCTTCCCTCCAAAACTCTATCATATATATCTCCCACTCACGCCCTATATCACCAACAACCCTCATATACACACTTACGCATTTTTGGATGCTTATGCTACCCTCATATTCCTACACCTCATAAACTAGCCGCTAGAACTTCTCCTAGTGTCTTTCTTGGGTACCCGTCTCAACACAAAGGATACAAATGCCTTGACTTATCTACCCGCCGCATATTTATATCTCGTCATGTCACCTTTGATGAGACCAATTTTCCCTTCAAAAACACCACACCGATATCACCGCCATCTTATGACTTTCTGGACTCCGCACCATCACCTTACCTTTTATCCCAGTTCCTAAATACAAACCATGCCAACCCCCTGCCCACAAATCCCCCCACTGCCCAAATTAATTCCCCTCCCACAAATTCCCCCACTGCTCCAATCAATTCCCCTCCCACACATTCTCCCACTGCCCAAATTAATTCCCCTCCAGACCATGAGGCCGCACCCCCTCCCCATCCACCCAATACGTCCCTTCCCAAGTCATCCCACCCAATGATTACCCGCAGCAAAGCTGGGGTAATCTGCCCCAAAACTATTTACAACCTCATCTCACAGAACGTCAACCCCCTCACCCCGTCCCCTTTGCCTAAATCCCATCTCCATGCCCTTCGTGACCCGAATTGGAAATCGGCAATGATATCTGAATTTACCGCCCTTATTAATAATAAGACGTGGGAGTTGGTTCCCCGTCCGCCTAATGCTAATGTCATTCGTTGCATGTGGTTATTTAAGCACAAATACAGGTCTGATGGGAGCTTAGAACGCCATAAAGCCCGGCTAGTGGTAAACGGTAAATCTCAACGTCCCGGTATCGATTGTGATGAAACATTTAGTCCCGTGGTCAAGCCGGCCACGATCCGTACAGTCCTTAGCATTGCCTTATCTCACTCTTGGCCGCTCCACCAACTTGACGTCAACAATGCCTTCCTCCACGGATTTCTTGATGAGACTGTGTACATGCATCAACCCCCCGGCTTTAAGGACTCCTCTCGGCCGTCTCATGTGTGTTTACTTAAAAAATCTCTATATGGATTAAAACAGGCTCCCCGGGCATGGTATCACCGTTTCGCCACTTATGCTGCGAAATTGGGCTTCAAACATAGCAAAGTTGACCATTCTTTATTCATATACCACCATGCAAATCACACGGCATACCTCTTATTGTACGTAGACGACATCATCCTCACGGCCTCTTCCACTACTCTTCTCGGCAGCATCATCTCCAAGCTAGCGGCAGAATTTTCCATTAAAGACTTGGGTCCTCTTGCTTACTTCCTCGGTCTTTCTGTCTCCTACACACCCGGCGGCATTTTTTTGTCTCAACAAAAATATGCAGCAGATATTCTTCACCGGGCTGGTATGACCACTTGCAATTCATCCCATACTCCTGTAGACACCAAAGCCAAGCTTAGTGCTGCTGCCGGCCAGCCAGTTCCCGACCCTACACTTTACCGCAGTTTGGCCGGCGCCCTTCAATACTTAACATTCACCCGGCCCGACCTCTCGTACGCTGTTCAACAGGTTTGCTTATATATGCATGATCCCCGGCTTCCCCATTTTGAGGCTCTTAAACGTATTTTACGTTATGTCAAAGGAACTATATCACATGGTCTTACATTACGTTCTTCACCCACCACTATGTTGACTGCCTATAGTGATGCCGACTGGGGCGGATGTCCAGACACTAGACGGTCAACATCAGGGTATTGCATATTTTTGGGAGATAACCTTATATCTTGGTCCTCTAAACGGCAAGCCACTATTTCTCGGTCTAGTGCCGAAGCTGAATATCGCGGCGTTGCAAATGCCGTTGCCGAAATATGTTGGCTTCGTAATCTTTTACTTGAACTTCGGCATCCTCTTACTCAAGCTTCTGTCATATATTGTGATAATGTTAGTGCTATGTACATGTCACAAAATCCGGTACAACATCAACGTACGAAGCATATTGAAATGGATATCCATTTTGTCCGGGAACGCGTAGCACTTGGTCATGTTCGGGTCTTGCATGTCCCCTCCCGTTATCAATATGCTGACATTTTTACAAAAGGCCTTCCCCGCATTTTGTTTGATGAATTTCGGACCAGTTTGAACGTACTTCTACCCCCCGTTCAAACTGCAGGGGCGTGATAGAACTTATGTGACCCACATCTGCCTACCATGCATAACATGTGCCGCAATACTCTCTCGGCAGGCTCAATTCTTATCAAGTTAATATATTTGACATTATCTCATTGTACAGCTGTATAGTTTAATAATTACTCCTTAACTTTCTCTTGTATTTAACTGATTAGTTTGATAGAATAGTCCCATGCGGATGAAACATGTATCGGATAACTACTGTACAAACACTATATATATACCATGAATGCCAGAGGCATATTCACGGGGGAAAGCATTTGTTTCTAACTGTAATATTACATTATTGGTTTTCTTGTATGTAAAATTGACATTTGTATATGATGAGTACTTTATAAAAAAAATCACCCATTTATCACACTTCTAGAGCCTGTTTGGTGCCATTGTATATTTATACAAAAGGGGGGCAACTGGGGGCCGCCATCCCTAAAAAATATCTATGTATATTTACCCCAAAATTTTTAATATATATGTATTTGTATATACTTTTTTATATTGTCGTCATCCGTCACTGCTTATCATCCAACTTTTTCACCAAATATACAATTTTATATTTCACGCACCGAATTTGTAATAATCAAAATAAGTACATTTATAGTTACTTTTCTGGCCAAATCGGCTCAAGTTACTGTAGAAGATCATTTTAACTTTTTATATGGTTTATCTTTATTTTATTAATAAAAGACATTTTATTTTATTTTTTCATAATTCAGCGGATTGAGCGGTTTCAAATTTCATCAATTTTAATGGAATCGATTAATTGATTGCAAACAGGTACCGATAGCAATGATTACTGGGTTGATAGTCATAGACAGTGCACGGGTGAACAAGCTATATTCATATTTAATGTTAGTAACGATGGATGATGATATTCATAGGAATTGTTAATTAGGTTAGAGTGGGTGAGGTCGCTCACAATGGCGATTAAAAAGACTAGTCATTGTTGTAGACTAGACAACATCCATAATGAAGAACGTGCATGCTAGTTTGTCATAGTTGCCTTAAGGTGATTTTTCCTATGAAATTTTATTGTTTATTATAGAGAAGAATATAAAAATGATATTCAAGTTTTCTAAAAATTAAACAATACTCCGTATATTGGAAAACTTTATGTTACATAAAACATAAGTTAGAATTTGCTGTGGTAAATATGGAAACAAAAAAAAATGTAAAAAGATTGAATGTCCCTCACATCATTTCTGAAAAAATTAAACATAAGTGGGTACAAATAGCATTTTCTAGAAGTAAATTTAAGTCTAGAGTTACACTTAATTATTCTTAATATTTAGCAATCCTAAATGTCGAGTGTATTCAATAGTAAGAACATAAACACATTTATAGATTTCATCAAAGTCGTGGCATATTATATTGCATATGTTAAACCTTTAAGCATTAAACTATTATGCATGCCTATTTATTCAATTATTCAATCATTCTTATGAAAGTGTGGAATATAAATAAATTATAAATTAAATTACAAAAAAAAAAAATTATAAATTAAAAGGTTATTCTTATGATAGCCAATATTTCTCAACGTGAAAGGTCTATAAGGCTTCCTCACGAGTCACAGACATGAAAAATTTAATGTTGCCCCACTCTATTAAAAAAACAGATTCTATGATATCCATAAGGTACTATACATTTGTTCATATTGTTGATTTATTTAAACGAAAATTAAAAGTGATAATAATGCTTTGGACCCATCAGAAGATGAATGATACGTATGGTAGTCATTTATTATTGGGAAAAGTAGCAAATAACCTCTCGAACTAACCAAAAAAGTGCAAAGCACCCCTTATATAGGAGGTTCTGTCCGGCCGTCACCATTTGGGGCGGTTCCCGATAGAATTTTTTGATGAATTTTTTTTGAGCATCTTCTTCATTAAGTCTAGTTTATCCATACCAAATTTCAGATAAAAATAAAATCGGGAAGGCAGTCAAATAATTTTCTGATATATATTGTGCTGTTTAACTACGCGGTTATCTTCAACAATTCATTTGTCTGTCTTCCCGAATGAATTTTTATCTCAAATTTGGTATGAGTAAACTAGACTTAATGAAGAAGATGCTCAAAAAAATTTATCAAAAAATTCCACCGAGAACCTCCCCAAATGACGACGGCCGGACAGAATCTCCTATATAAAGGGTTATTTGCACTTTTTGGTTAGTTCGATGACTTATTTGCCCCCTATCCCTTTTGGGTACCGAAGTTGTCATAGAAAAAAATGTTGTCCCACTCCATGAATTTTCCCTCTCGCTCACTAAATTATTTGAGCTTCTGTGTGAATAGACGTTGGTACATGTCACCACTGCATGTCTTTTATTTATCATGGCTAATAACTTACTACCTCCGTCCTTTTTTATTTAGCCATCTTTGACTTTTCCAGTCAAAGGTGATTAAGTTTGATCCATTATGTTAATTAACATATTTATGTAAAACATAATATATTTATACTTTTATGATACTATTTTCATCAAAGAACATTTTCATATAATTTTCATATTATCAATATTATCGTGTATAAA